TACCTTCAGATGGGTCTTTAATGAGTTAAGATTTCTCCCCATGAGCTAAGGCAAACAAATTCACTCCCATATCTTCCTGCTCTGCAAATGTCTTATGAGAAGATGTTTTGCATACATCAAGCTCCCTTACAGATCTATGAACTCAGTAAGATACTTGTGGAGTTTTGAATCCTCAGGTTAATCAGGGGTCGAGCATATCAACATCTGTGTCTGCCAAGTGCAGCATAGAACATGACTGTTAAAAAGCTTCAGCCTGCAGCCTGTGGGAGAAATGAATGGCTTGGATCCACTGGAAATTTCCACTGATGGAAGAGATTTCTGTCAGTGAAGCATGACAGCCTTCCCCCTCCCACTGCAGCCCCAAATGCCCTGCAAAGTACTGCTTGGGGACAGGGGATATAAACCTGCCACAGAAGCAGGGAATGGGTCAAAATTTGCCTCCCTTCCATCCATGGAAATCCTCCACTGGATCCAAACCAGTACCTTTCAGTTTTTGGACTCTGAAACATGCAGACACATTCTCAAAATTGCAGTTATGTGGACAATGTCCATTCACAGATTGGTCTCTGAGGTGGCACATGGAATTATCCACTTAACCCTTGTATTATTTTACTTGGGGAAGGTGCTGTACATTTTTGGGATGACAGTAAACATCTCTGTAGGGCATTTCAAGTATCCAATTAGTAATTAGTAAGACAAGTAGTTAGTCCAAAGTAACAAGTTCAAAGTACTTATCATATGTTATCTTACTAATTACTACGAAAGCCCTGCCAAGCAAGTCAGGGGTTTTGTTACACTCATGTTGCAGACCGAAGCTGAGGGAACATTTGTTGCCCAACAGCACCTAATGAGGTCATGGCAGAAATGAACTTTTGAGCCACCAGCATACCAGTTCACATCTCGCATTTCTAAACACTGAGCTACACTTGCTCAATTTTTTTTAAAAAAAATCTTTGCTCAGGGTTGATCGAAATCCTTGCTGAGGCCCCTTTTACAGCAAAGAAACACTTGATTTCTTTTCCATAGCCCCGTCAAACAACCTGTACTCCCTCTCCCCCAAACACACACACGTATACACACCTTTCAGTCATGGTGCTTATTATGATCAGCAGATACGGGCAAATATAAAATGTGTAGACAAGGCCAAACATTAATGGACACACATTATTGGGTGGAAGGGGGGCATGGAAACTCAAGAAGTAACAGCAGAGGAAGCTGGTCAGGTAGGCCAAGACGTTTATCAGATAGGCTGCAGAAAGACAGCTGAGCAATAGAGGACTCAAAGAGGCTGCTGTTTTAAATGATAAACTGGAAGCCAGAAAGCCTGTGGAAGGTTTTTTCAGGCAAAGCATAGGTTGCTGGAGGATAAAATATTTATTAGCTGCATCCCTCTGCACATACACCAGATAACATTGCAGAGCAGGTCAACAGAAGACTCTGAACCTTTCAAGGAATCCAAGTTGTTTAAGCCTAGTTTTGTCTCTGAAAGGTTAGTCTCACAGGCGATGTTTACATGTTTACCATGACAGTAAATAACAGCTTTATTTATCTTGGGGCTGCGTGAACTACACTGATTGCCTATTGAGTACCAGATCCGTTTCAAGGTGTCAGTGTTCGCCTTTAAAGCCCTATATGGCCAGGGCCCTGCATATCTGCAAGACCGACTCTCCCTGTATGAGCCCTGAAGGGCTTTACGATCTGCCAACCAACATCTTCTGGTGGTCCCCAGCCCCAGGATCTTGCCTTAACTAGGGCCAGGTCTGCCCTGGCCCCTACCTGGTGGAATGAGCTCCCATATGAGATCAGGGCCCTGCAGGACCTTGTACAGTTCCGCAGGGTCCGCAAGACGGAGCTCTTCTGCTTTTAGTTAGGGTGGCAGGCGTCCCCCTTCTCTGTTGGACCCCCCCTCAGCGGGTCAGATCTGTATTGCCATCTAAGGACCCAAACCCGAAATAGACTGCTTGTGAGGCTTTAACCATAATTTGTACCATAGGAATCTTATTGTATTTTATTAAGGTTTTTAAATGTTTTTTAATTCTTTGTATATTGTATATTGGTTACCGTTTCTGAGGGAACTTGCCCTGAGCCTGCTATGTGGGGAAGACAGAATACAAATCCAATAAAATTAAAATTAATACAATACCTGTTTGATTTAAAACTTGGTATGCTCTTTCTACACTGACAGCATTGACTAGAGTAAAGGTATTCTTGGAGTCTGGCTACATGTTACACTTCCCCCATGAAAAGTGGTCACACTCTGACTGTTGCAAATTCTGAGGGAGCACTCTGGACAGCCAGCAGCTGAGAAAAGCTTGCAGGTATTTCCCTAGATGATATACTCAGAGAGGAGGTGATTTCAGTCCACTCATTTCCTCTGCCAGTTGTGAACTTTGCTGAACAACAAAGGGGCTAAAATGGCCATGGGCTGGCAGCATCCTTCTGTTCTTGTCTTATTTATTTAAATTTTATGTTGACTTATTTTTATATACTGCCCATTTTGCTATCAAATAGTGACATGCTGCATCTTCAGGTTGTGAATAGCTAAGAACTTTAGAGAGACACAATATAGCTATTTGTGTTGGAAATGTTGTCCTAATGATAATAGGAAGAAACTAGTTAATTTATTCAGTCAATGAAAATATCCCCCCCCCTTAAGTACATGTGCACTGATGGAACTGTATAATTACATGAGGCTTCCCTCATTTTTATATTAACATTTAGTGCCATTGATCAGAAACAGTCATATATGTTAAACAGCAGCAGTACTCTAAGAAAGATAAGCCTTCTTCTGATTCTGTTAAAAAGTAAATAATCACTGATTCACATGCCTAGGCTGAGTTCTTACACTGGTTCAATACACTGGAGCTGTCCTAGCCTTGCCATGTTCTGGCACTGCAGGCACTGCAAGAAGCACCATTGAAGCTCTTCCCACAGCAGTTTGACTCCATTTTGTTGAGATCTGTCTCTGGGAAAGCTAAAGTGTGGAGGTGCATTGGCCTTCATGTTAAACCAGGAAGGAGCAGCATCCTCATGCCACCATGGTACCACGAGTGGCAGGCCTAACAGAGCTACTGTAAGCAGAATTATACTCTCTAAGCTTTCAATGTAGTTGCACATTTCTGACATCTACTTCGTAATTAATGTGACATGAATGCAAGGCACTAACTTCACCACACATTGATGACCATATGTTTTCCTTAAATAATATAGCATTAGTTTAAAAAAGAGGTGAATTTATTATTGCAGCATGAGAGTCTGAAAACAAACACCTCACTTTTAAGGCCTATGATAGTGTATCATACTGTCCTTGTATTCAGTTTTAGCATCCTATAATTTTCATGCTCACTCCACTTTAATATCTTATTTGAGCCAAATTAACAAGTCTCTGTTCCCTTCTACGGTCTATACAAATATACATTGGTTTATACCAGTTTAATTCATTGGGCTCCCTCAGAGAATCCTGAGAACTGTACTTGTGTTAAAGTGCTGAAAATTAACCCCACTGCAGTGCAGAACTCAAGGGAGACCCAGGGTCAGATTCCTTCTTGGGTGTGGAGCTCATTGGGTGACCTTGGGACAGTCGTTTTCTTCACAGCCTAACCTACCTCATCAAGGGGAAGGGGAGGGGGAGATTGAAGCATGTATACTGCCATGAGTTCCTTGGAGTAAGAGAGGAATAAAAATTGATGGATGAATATTTTCATAGCAAGTAAATTGTCCAGATCAGTGAATCCTTTTCATTTCTCTGAATTATTGTTTGTCCCAAGTATCTGTAGTATGTCTTTTATACAAAATTCTGCATCATTAATTTTAAAAAGTTTATATACTGTGATCTCCTTTGTTGTTCCACTGGTTCCACCACACTTTTAACCAAAGCTTTAAAAGGCGTTCTGATAGATTCACTGATAGAACTATCAGTGGCTAGTAGCCATGGCGACTGAGGGGAACCTCCAAGTTCAGATGCAGTCAACCAATCCCAGGAGGCAACACTAGGGGCCTCTATACCCCGTTGTTGGACCTCCAGAAGAATTGGCTGGCCACTGTGTGAGACAGGATGCTGGACTGGATGGACCACTGGTTTGATCCAGCACGGCTCTTCTTATGTTCATACTGGCAAGGTGGACAAATGGAAATTCACAAGCATGCTGGTTAGTTCTAGTTAAGACTACTTCAACTGGCAGAACTTTCACAATTACTTTTATTTGTTCTTTTCTAAAAAAAACTTTTGAGATGTTTTTGGTGCACTTTGCCTTAGGGGGGAAAAAAACCCGTATGTAACATTTCAAATACATACAGTAAGTCTGTAGCATGTAAAGTCTAGAATAGCCATATTTAAATCTAGTGAGATTCCCTTAAGTAAATGGGTTGGGTTGTCTGTGATTTGTAATTGCTTTGTGTCAGTATTAGCTGCTTTATGGTATACCCTTCAGCTTGCAAGTGGGAAACTAAGAGTTTCCCATGTCATTTTTCATGGAAGGCTTTCATGGAGGAGTGTTTTATTTATTTAGTGCATTTTTATCCTACCCTTCCTACAAGGAGCTCAGAGAAGCAGGTATAATTCTCCTTTCTTCCATTTTAACCTCACAGCTCATCTGAGAGAGCATAATTGGCCCAAGGGCACACATGAAGTTTCAGGACTAGCAGGGATTTGAACCCAGGTCTTCCCAGTCTTAGTCATTCCAGGTTCCTGGGTGCTGGGTGATTCTTGATATGGTTAACATTCAAGCATCTAATTTCCCCACGTCCTTCCTAAACAACAATAATCTTCGTGTATAGAGCAGCTCTTAATTATATTATAAGCTAGGTTTGCTTGTGCTGTGGCCCTGCTATTGTTCTTCTGTAGACTGTTAGCTCTGAACTGATAATTTTACTAAATATCTGTTCACAGAACTACTCCTTTAGCATTTGCAAACAACAGTTATATAGTAACAGGCATCTCTGGCTTATGTGGTATCATAATTAACATACAAAACTATGTTTAAAAAGAAATCATAACTTACCATGACTTTTTGCAATGAAAGGTAAGAAAGGTGGTCCTTTCACACTGGATTGTTTCTGGTATCGTTCAGGATAATAGCCCTCACCACCACGGACAATGTTCATGGACAGCAGCATCAGCAGAATGGATACTTGTAACTTCATGTTCCTAAGTCCACTCTGTATTGAAGCAAAAAATGATTATTTAGTTTCCAAAAATTACAGAAGGTCAATTTGTAGGTTTTTCTCCCCTCAAAGGGCTCTAACAAAAACATATGGATTTCATCCACAGTCCTTTGATTCAAAGCCCTCTTCCAAATTTAGTGGATTCAGTTCTGTACATATTTTAAAATATATTTTTAAAAAGTTTTAGAGCACAAACCATTGTAGGCATTAGAAAATAGTCTCATTTTGTAGCATCCATGATCAACACTCACTGCAAGCAGCATGTGGCCATGGTCTACAAATATTATCAGAAATAAAAATGATTACTGCTAATTCCTGAGTGCTGTGCTCTTATGGTCCCCAGCAGCTCTCTTAAAATTTTCCAAAAGAAGGTCTCAAGTCCTCCTGTCTCAGAAGCAGTAGCCATTAGAAACCCATGTCTATGCAACAAGTGAGCTTTCTGCAAGTAACTGTAACCAGAATATCCTCAAGAGCCATTAATGAGCCCCTGAAAACCTCTGTCCCACTTAAATGCATTTGGAAGCCAAGCCAGATGGAATTGCAGCATACCGGCATGTTGTAGGATTACAAATGTGCAGTAGAGCAGACTTCAGTCTTGGCTCATGTGTCCTTCTGCCACAGGTGTGCAGAGCAGAAGTTGTTATTTCAAGCATCATTCTGAGTTATTTATACTGTTTGTTCCTTCTGACATGAACTTGCACTGTGTTATAGCCCCACCTTCAAACCAGAGAAGTACTAATTATGGTGGAAAGTTTCCTGGGGTAGGAATGTTATGTCAGGTTTGGGTTTTTTTTTTTAAATCATTATTATGATTTGAGATGTCATTCTCATGTCCTTAATTTGCTTTCGTTGTACTAGAACTGAAGGCAGCTTTACCTGTTATCAGAACATGTTTACATTTTATGAAATAGAAAAGTGTAAGTTGTGTTTTGATTGCATTTTTCAAAGAAATGAGTAATCCATGCTAGGGCTAGCTATCTTCTCTTTGGTTATTTTGGCAAGGAATATTATTGAAGTCATTGGTGAGAAATGTTTTCCAATGTTAAGGAATTTAGATGCATGTTCTGGAGGTTCACAGCTGTACAAGTTAGGAATGTGCCACACCGAGTGACTCATTTTCATATGGTTTTTTTGTTATTTGTTAAAATTGTATTCTATGTTTGCCCAGAAAAGTCCCTTTGATAGATTAATGTTTTTGTCAGATATTACCAGCCTTTTCACTGACAAGAGAAGAAGGATGAGTCCGTTTTCACCACCAAGAAGGACTCTTCTGGAAATTGGTCCAGGTGGGCCGCCATGTTGGTCTGAAGCAGTAGAACAAAGTTTGAGTCCAATGGCACCTTTTAGGACCAACACTATTCAGGGTATGAGCTTTCATGTGCACACACACTTCCTCAGACTGTACAGAATATACAGCAGTGTATCTGAGGAAGTGTACGTGCACACGAAAGCTCATACCTTGAATAAAACTTAGTTGGTCTTAAAGGCACTATACTCAAACTTTGTTCTGAGAATTGTGGGACTCACATTAACAAAAGCCATAAAAGATAGGAAACTGCACTGAGGATTGGAATTGGGTAAAACTGAGCAGAAAAGCTGGTAGGATCCTACCGTTTGTATTGAAAATTTGGGCTGGGTTGTCACCAGTGTATGGATGATACTTAGCTCTGTCTTATGCTTCCAGTGTTTCCCAGGGAGGCTGCGGAAACTGTGAACTGGTGCCTGGAGGCGGTTTTGGAATGGATGAGGGCTACTAAACCAAAGTTTAGTCCCAACAAGATGGAGGAGCTACTGGTGGGAAGGGCTGACCTGTGAATTGATGTGTCTCCTGGTCTGGATGGGGTTGTATTCCCCTGCTAAAGTAGCAGATTCTTCGTTTGGGGATGCTGCTGGACCCAGCATCTTTCACCAGCTTTGGCTGGTGAGCCAGCTGCAGCTTTCCTGGGCAAAAAAGATGTTGCCACTGTGGTGCAAGCTCTGGTAACATCTAGATAAGATGACTTGAATGGTTTTCCCCCCGACGAGCTCGGCCATGCCCCCAATGTCAGCAACATTGCACGTCACTTCTGGTGACGTGCTGCTGGCGCATGTGTGCTGCGCGCGTGTGCACAGCCAGCAACAACTCCCGGACCGTGGCGAGGCTCCCCCGCCGCGAGGGGTAAGTCCACTTGGCAACCCTAGCTTCAGGCATAACAATGTTTTAAATAAATAAAATAAAGTATATTTGGAATGTCCTTGTTTCAGAATTTGTACTGTCTTCTGTTTTGCATGAATGATCCTCTCCTTATACATGGATTTGAAAGGCACCGTTTGTTCTGGTCCCTTCTAACTGAATATTTTGATTCTTCCTGTACATTTAGCCCTCCACAAAAGCAAGCTACAATGAAAATGTATGCACAAAAGCAAGTAAGGTGTGTTCTTAAAAGGCCTTCTAAAAATGTGAACAAAGATTTTAGTTTAATAAAGAACTGGTAGAAAACACAAGACCTTGCTGTTTTGGATCTGCATGGATCTGGATGACTTTCTTTGTATGAGTCTCCTTTCTGGTTGAGGAGCCACATGTGGCTCTTTGACATGCCAACTGTGGCTCTTCTGAGCACTGTTCCCCAATGTGGCACCTGCCTCATATTTCAGGAACATAGGCAAGGCTGGAGGTTGTGGTTGGCAGGTGATTTCTGCCTTAAAACAGCAACTGCAAGAGGAACGGGTAAACTGTGCACCTCCCTGAGTTGCAGGCCTGATGCCGGGGATGGTTGTAAATGAGGCTATTTTGGTTGATGGAAATTGCAAATGTGGCTGTACACAAACTGTAGAGTGAAGTACTGCTGGGCTAACACAACAGAAGGGCAACCATTTCCAGTCATATGTGTTAGTGGTGTGATTATGCTGTCTGTCTTTTCCCTCTTGACACCTACACATTATGTTTGTACAGTTACATACATGCTGCACATGCCAATTTTTCAGCAAACCAGTTGTGCATTTTGAGCTTATTATACTGGGATCTGTGTAGATCATTGCCCTGATCCATTGGCCTGTGTAGATCTCTGTGCAAATATGGTATGCAACACAGGGACATTTATTTATTTATTTACCTTCAATTTCTATCCCGCCTTGCTGGTGCAAACTGGCTCAAGGCGGCTTACACAAGTTAAAATACAATAAAACCAATAAGTACAATAAAATTTCAATATGAACAATTACATAAAGTGCTAAATATAAACAGATGGCAGGAAATTTCTATACATGGTCCGCTGGAGAGAGGCCATATCTGGCGTTGTTACATAGGACTATGGTATGTTTAGTTTGCAATAGTTGTCAGTGGTGGCTCCTAATCGAGGGCCTGGTGGAAGCGCTCCATTTTACAGGCCCTGCAGAACTGTAAAAGGTCCCGCAGGGCCCTGATGTCCTCCGGGAGCTCATCCCACCGGTGTGGAGCCGCCACTGAAAAAGCCCTAGCCCTCATAATGGCCAATCTGGCATCTTTCAAGCCAGGGAGAGTCAGGCGATTTTGTGACCCTGACCTCAGTGCTCTCTGGGGCACATATGGGGAAAGGCGGTCCCTCAGGTAGGCAGGCTCCCGGCCATATAGGGCTTTGAAGGTCAAAACCAGCACCTTGAAGTGAATCCGGTATGCTACTGGCAGCCAGTGCAATGCCTTCAGCACAGGCTGGATGTGGTCTCGTATGGAGAGACCCATCAACAGCCTGGCTGCCGCGTTTTGCACCAACTGCAGCTTCTGGATTTGGGACAAGGGCAGCCCCATGTAGAGAGCGTTGCAGTAGTCTAACCTCGAGGTCACCATAGCATGGATCACTGTTGCCATGTCATTGTCCCATCAGGAGATGAGAGTAGTTATCGTGATCCCCACCACTAAATGTCGATTGGAACTTCCTTCTAGTCACTGGCTCAGAGAAAGATCCATTCAGATCCAAGACTGCAAGCTCTTGTGTTTTCCCCAGTTGTTTATTAATCGAAAATGTTTGTTCATATTTTTAAAAGGCCTTACTTGCTGTTGTGCATACATTTTCATTGTAGCTTGCTTTTTGATGTAGCAATCTTGATATCCTTAAAATCAGTGGCAATGAGTTCAGTGGCTTATAGATCTGCACTTTGTCTCTTCATCCAATCAGAATTATTGCCTGTCACTGATCTATTACCTGGCACTACTGCAATGATTTCAGTAACTGTTGTTGGCAGTGCATTTTTTCCTTGGGCAGTTACTTATAGCCTAGCTTACAATGCTGTCATCTACTGCATAGAAGTTAAAAGTTGTAGTGGTAAGGGCAAAAGAGACAAAGCATTGTATAAGTCTCAATAGTCTTAGTTTCCTTGCAACCAAAGATTGAATAGTTCTGTGTGACCACCTGTGTTTGTTTGATCAAGAAGAAAGTAAACAAAAAATCACTGACCCACTCCCTAGCCTGGAATGACTTCATGTTTGGTGTCTGGCATAAATTTAGTGCTAGGACTGCAGATGAAATGTAAGGATATTTGTATGTCTTAGGTGCTATTTGTAGCAATTGCTTGCTTTAAAAATGCACCTGTTTTTCTTACTTGAATTCCTAACCATTGGCTTGGGCTTCTAAATAAATTCTAACCTCATTTAGCTTGGTGTTTTTCTGTTGTACTTTTTCTGCTAAAGGATATGGGATCCTGTACTTATTACCCTGGTGCAAGATGTGGCTAACAGTGCTATCCTGAGAACGCTTTCCTGGGAGTCAGCCACACTGAATAGATTGGAATAGGATTTTGAGTAGACCTGTTTAGGATTGCACCGCTAGTAATGGTCATCTTAATGATGCAATTCAAAGCACACTTACTAGCAAGTAAACCCCAATGACCTTGGACTTGCTTCTATATATAAATGCAGGGGTCTTGTTGTAGAAAAAGAGCTGCCGGAGCTCATTAGCATAACTCATTAGCATAACTTATTTGCATATGCCACGCCCCCTGACATCACCGGAAGTGACAGAAGGCCA